CCCTGAGCACTCACATCCCTGAGCACTCACATCACTGAGCACTCACACCACTGAGCACTCACACCACTGAGCACTCACATCCCTGAGCACTCACATCCCTGAGCACTCACACCACTGAGCACTCACACCACTGAGCACTCACATCACTGAGCACTCACATCCCTGAGCACTCACATCACTGAGCACTCACACCACTGAGCACTCACACCACTGAGCACTCACATCCCTGAGCACTCACACCACTGAGCACTCACATCCCTGAGCACTCACACCACTGAGCACTCACATCCCTGAGTACTCACATCCCTGAGCACTCACACCACTGAGCACTCACATCCCTGAGCACTCACATCCCTGAGCACTCACACCACTGAGCACTCACACCAATGAGCACTCACATCCCTGAGCCACATCCCTGAGCACTCACATCCCTGAGCACTCACACCGCTGAGCACTCACACCGCTGAGCACTCACATCCCTGAGCACTCACACCACTGAGCACTCACACCACTGAGCACTCACATCCCTGAGCACTCACATCCCTGAGCACTCACACCACTGAGCACTCACATCCCTGAGCACTCACATCCCTGAGCACTCACACCATTGAGCACTCACATCCCTGAGCACTCACATCCCTGAGCACTCACAACCCTGAGCACTCACATCCCTGAGCACTCACACCACTGAGCACTCACACCACTGAGCACTCACACCACTGAGCACTCACACCACTGAGCACTCACACCACTGAGCACTCACATCAGTGGCTCACAACCACCTACAATGAAGCTGCAGGAGCATCTGAAGCCTTGGGCCGCCACATGCACAGCACTCATGGGCACATTCCCCAAACAGGCACACATCGCATGGTTAAGAGTTGAAGAACAAAAATTGACTAGAAACCAGCAAGGGTCAACTCAGTTTTACTTAATTTTCACTAAATACTTTCAACAGTATGTCATTAGCATTTGCATACCTGGTTTGCAAAGGGGCAAACAAGGCTGCGTGTTGTTCCATAATCGGACTCAAGGCCACTAAGAGCAAGGGGGTAAAGTCTCTCCTCCACCTCATGGAAAACAACACACATTCCTATTATCTTGAGGCAGAGTAGAAAGACAATTATGGCGACATAGGAGAGAAAGCTTGGGAGAGGAAAAGGGACCTTTATTCCTAGGGTCCCAGCTTCTCTGTGTGGCAAAAGATGGGCAGCTGCAGATGCTACTGAAGCCCAAACGGCCTGAGGGCCGCATGTGTTCTCAAAAGGCATCAAGTTTTGGTTACTTAGGGCCACACTATACATTCCTAAAGACAACTTGATTCAGCTTAGCTCCAGCTACAGACAGATATAGACCACCACTAGTGTCTGCTACCCATCCCCCACCCCAGCATGCACACCCCAAAACAACCCCTTAAATATTCAGAGGAGAAATGACTAACAGACAAGTGTGCCTAACAGCAACCTGCAAACATGACAAAGTCACACATCTACTAGCTTTAAAATAAACAGGGAATAAAATGTAGAGGTGAAACCACAGGGTTTTTGTTGTTTTTTTGTTTTGTTTTTGTTTTTGTTTTTTTTTTTTTTTGAGGAAACAGGAAAATGAAAGCGGAAGGATAAGAGCCCATAAACCAGTGTCCCCTGATTACTTAGCCAATGAAGCAAAAATAAATAAATAAATAAATAAATAATAATAAAAATAAAAATTTCTGGGAACTTCAAGTTACACCACCCACTCCCGTAAACTAACACTCAGGAAGCAGAAGCAGGAGGATCCCTGCCAAGTTTGAGGCCAACCTGGTCTAATTTAATTAAGTAAACCTCTTCGGCCTAGATTCTGCTTGGGGGAAGTTCAAATTAGCCACATGGGGCAGAAGTAGTAGTGAACCGTGACACACTTAGGGCCACACTATACATTCCAGACAGTCGGGGTGACACAGATTCAGGATGGCTGGTCAAGAGTTTACGTAATGAGGCTGCCAGCCATGGCGTGGTGGCTACTCCCCTTTACCTCAGGAGGTAGTACCAGCAGGATCCTCGAGAGTGGAGGCCAGGGTGCTAGGTACTGCCGGATGAGGCTAGTTTGAACTTCTCCTCCTCTCCCTGCTTTTCACCATGACTAGCTAGTCTTTTCAATAGGGGCCATGGTCAACCTGTTGGGACTGCAGGAGAACGAGCACTTACCCTAAAACTTGTTTACAGTGCCACCCTGCTCAACTGCTGACCACAGATCCTTGCCATGGCCATAGGGGTCCCAAGGCCATCACGGACTCACCCACATATCTTCAAGGACCCCAATATTCATCACGGTAATTAGTAAATTTTAATATTTTCTTTCTCAGCACCAGCTTCCCTATGGGAAATATTAGGAAAATGGCCCAGATCCCCAGCATTTGAACAGGGGCTCTTCTCCCAGCTCTGCTGGCTCGAACCCACAGGTACGAGCAGATTGTTCCATTCCTCCTATCAATTCTGACACTGCTTTGGCTCCGACAGATCAAGGACGCTGCAGCCCTAGTGTAATTCAAAACCGTGAATAAATTCACTTTTTCACCTCTCTCATGCCAGTGTCGGATCCAGACTCCCGCCAGTCACGGACTACGTACACACTCCCCGTCATGCAAGCAGCACGGTCGCCCTCACAGACTCACTAGCCCCAGGCTCACAGTAGCGGGCTCCATCGCCACCCTCTGCCAACTCCCACAAGACGCCTACCCCAGCCGAATCGCGGCATCCCCCTGCAGCTGCCTCAGTCATCACTCAACACAAACCAGCGCTCAGCAGCACAGCATCCTTCCTGCGCCGCGGCCGCTCACCTCTCACTGAACTTCTGAAGAGCTCTGCACACGCCACGCCGGGTAGACGCTCAGGATTTTCCAGAGTTCAGAATCCAAACTCCCACGGCGTCCTGGTAACGATAACAACTAACCACGTGAAGATCTAACCGGAAATCGACGCTCTAGGCTACCTCTGGTTACATGAACTGCACCTCAGTCACCTTTCCGGCGGAAGTCGGTATTGCCCATAGCCCCTATTGCTTGCAAGCACAAAAGTTGTACTGCGCATGCCCACCACCACGTGCGAAGTTACTCTTTGCCAATAGTTATAATGGTATCCACTCTGCCACTCCACCCCTACCCCCACGCGCCACATCCCAACCCCATATTGTCATGGCTAATTCCATATTTCAATTATGCGGACGTCATCATACTTCACTTCCTTTCATCCATGGGCCATGTGAAATGTCACAGACTTAAAGCCTAAAGCCCCTTGGGTAGATATGCATTTAAGAGACAGACATGTTGCATATTCCTAAAAATTTTCTCTGTATTTTCACACAGACTTAAGGCTGTTTTCTTCTAGTTTTCTAACACTTGAAAGCTAGGAAGGGTTAGTGGGAAGTGGGAAGTGAAGCCATATGGAACTTTAAAGGTCTGAAATGTGCCTTCTTTGTATACCATCTGTAATACCAAAAATTAACCTGTAAACCCCACCTACCCAGGGACCGGTAACTTCCTGGGATGCTGGGAATTGTAGTTCTTGGAAAATATCAACTGCCTCATGGCAAAGTTTGTTTTTATATACTCTTGCGGCACATGGCTGGAGGCCATTCTCACCTGGGAAATTTCAGGGAATGGTTCTGACCTAAGTCCATCTTTTGGTCACTATTTAATATTTAATAAAGCGTGCTTTAAATTTGACCCAAAAAGCGGGGATTGGTTTTTCTCTGGCGAATCTCAGGATTAAGCACATCCTGGGAACATATCATGGTTCCCTGAGGAAAAGCGTTTATTCTCACTTATAGGTAGAATACAAAAAACGAAACAAGACAGAAATAAACAAACAGCAACAACAAAACTCAGTGCATAAAAGAAACAGTGTTGAATGGGCTGGTGAGGAAAAAAAAAAAATGAGGAGAGGCCAAACAGTGAAAATACCCAGAACAATAGAATGAATATTGTTATTCCTAACGGAAAGTATGAGAAGAAACTGAGATATGGTGAAAGTATGTCCAGGGCTAACCCACGCTAGCCCTGGCTGGCCTGAACTATTTACATACCACGTGTTGGGATCCTAGGCATGTGCCACCATGCCCAACTCTACATATGCTCTTGTTCTTCCCTCTGAAAACAGACTACAAGACTGTGACCAGAGCTTTAGGGCCAAAGGGCAGCTCCTGTCGTCCTATAAGAATAGGTGTGGTTATTAGACCTTGGTCTGTCCAAGCCTAGGCAGTGTCAGGATTGATAGAAGGGATGGGACTGTGAGGTCTGTGTATGCTCGAGTAGCTGCGGGTCCAGCCACCCCTCCTAGTCATTTGTTTACAATTTGTCTTTAATCGCACATGGATGGGAGTAGGGTGAAGAGTATTTGTCCCCTAGTGCTCAGAGAGTATCCTGGCTGGGGAAGGGGTTAACTGAAGATAGAACTCTATTCAATAACAAAGAACTGACCATCCATGCTGGGTGAACACTCAAGTGTGACTGCTTTAGGGCTCACTGCTCCTGTGGTGAGTCAAAATATAAAGAGTGTAGCCCCTTGTTCATACTCTCTAACTAAGCCCAAGGAACTCACTGGTTGCCCAGGTTGAGCACTGGTGGAACTGTACTTTGCTTTGTTGTTGGGACCCTAAAAGGATGGGTTAGAATTGTTTACACTTCCCCAGCAAAGGAGTCCTGGCAATACTTATGCATACTGGACATTCTACCATACTCCTCAGCAAAGTTGACAATTATATGCCCCGCTTAATTCATATCAAGTGATCGCTAAGTAAAACGATATTTTCGTGTCTGATGTTACCAGAGGGGTTGGAGGAGGCAAGGCTGTCAGGAAAGAGGTTGGGCACCTCCTGAAAACAACATCCAGCTTCACAAAGATAGCATGGCATTGAGCAGTCTTTCACTGTGTCCTCACCTCTGTGGTGTCTTCCAAAGCCAATCAGACCAGGCTGGCTGCAGGAAGAAGAAGTCCAATGGGGCCATGGACAAAATTAAGAGATTTGAAATGAAAGGAGTGGTTCTGGTTCCATTTCTTAGTATAAAATTGCTTATATAATCATTTCTCTACCAAAATCGTCACCTCTGAGTCACAGCCACTTTTGGGTTTGTGTGTGTGTGTGTGTGCGTGTGTGTGTGTGTGTGTATGTATGTAGAAGGTGAGAGAAGGACTCCCCTTGCTGGGCCAGTTCTCCTGCCCAAGAATGCCTCATTGGGATGTATAATCCAATCTAATCATATTAAACTGTGAGTATCAGTGAGAAAGCCCTACCAAACCTCCCCATTACCTCAGCCTACAACCCTATGCTACAGGTGTGTTTTCTCTACCTCCAACTCCACCTCAGGATCTAGGGATGTGACAACATCCACAGGAGATCTAGGAGAACCCGGAAGGACAAGGCCAAGGACATGGTGCAGGTGAGGGAGAATATTCTTATTATCTATTGCTACATTACCATAAATTTCACTGAACCCTAATGTTTGGAGATACTACTGCCTTTTAAATTTTATGTGGACCAGGATTTAGGAAGGGCTTGGAGAGTGGCTGTAGCCTTGGCTTTTCATACATCTAATGAGGTGCAGCTGGGCATCAGTCACAAGAATAACAACCTGGGAACTGGCTCAATCTTTAAAAATATTTTTAAAATTTTTGAAATACAAACTTAATTACATAATTTTCTCCACTCCATTTCTCCCTCCAACCACCCTTGTTCCCTGTCTCTGTCTCTGTCTCTCTTTCTCTCTCTCTCTCAGATTAAGAGCCTCTAATTCTCTAATTGCTGTTGTGAATCTGTATGTGTTCCTAGATATATAAATAAAATCTACTCATTCCATATAATATTACTTGTATGAATATGATTTAAAAACTGACAATTTAATTTTGGATAACCAATTTGGGACTTTTTCGGGAAAGGCTGTTTCTCCTACCCTCAGTTCTTCATCTATAGTTGAGATTCTCCTGAAGTGGAAACTTCTAGTTTTCTGGAAAGTCAGTTCTGTCAACTGATGTTTTGCTGGGGCACATGGGTGAAAGGATGTCTTCCTAAAGCAAACACTGAAAGACTTTTTGTGAAGCTGACAAAAATATAACAAACACTCCATCACTCCTGTGATGGATTTATATATATATAACCTCACAGACAGCGGGAGATGAGCACTGAGCTTTGGTTTGGTTTGCTCTGCCTCATTATTCTTTGCTAAAGACAGCATGTTCACCTTACATTGCGTTGTTGAGCTCATCTTGTGGTAACACTACCGTTGAGAGAAAGTCACCCAAGAACTGCTTGTGAGGTTCCTGGAGCTTCCCACTTCTGCAGCCTCACCTCAGCCCAGTTGGTGAGCCTGGAGGTTTCTTCAACTACAGCTGCCTGGTGTCTGCCTGCTGAAAGGACTGGAGTGTAGCTGGTAGTTTGTGCCTGGTGTCTGCCTGCCTAGAGGACTGTCTGCAGCTGCTGACTCGTATTTGGTGTTTGCTATGGGACTGAACATAGAAGATCAAACTTGCGCCCAAAGAACTATTGCTGAACAGGTCCACCTCCCTCATATCCTAATAACTTATCTCTCTCACTACCTCTGCTAGGTGGAGGGCTAGAGGAGAGGTTGAACATCTATTAAAAGTAGGTTGCAAAAAATTATGCATACATATTGGTGCTGATCTTGCCTTTAGGGGTCTGATCATCTTTTTGCATTCAGCGTTAGCTTTTTTGAAAGCCAAAGATTCAATCAGTGCTTTCCTAGCTTCTGGGTCTGATACTCTTCTATTTACAGCTGGAGTCAATCTTTGTAAAAAGTCAGTAAATATTTCTTTCGGACCTTGCGTAGTCTGAGTAAATGATTCAAGTCCTTTTCCTGTGTCTTCAAACTCTTCCTAAGCACTTAAAGCTGCTGTAAGACATAATGCTAAGGTGGCCTCGTCAGACGCCACTTGCGTCACTACCTCAGCCTATAGACCTTCACTTAGCAACTGATCTTGGCAAATATTGATACCTCTGGGCCTATTTTCCTGTTCAATCTCCTTAACTTCTTCTTTCCATGGTGATCACCATAGTAACTGAGGACCAGTTTCAAATGTTACTTCTGTCATAGCTTTCTAGTCTTAGGGGATTATTCTATTTTCAGTCACCCGATAATTTAATATCTGCTTCACAAATGGTGAATGCATATCACATGAGGTAACACTTTCCTTAAAGTATTGTAAATCTAGCACGTCTACAAGATGACATCCAATTTCTTCATATCTGTGGGGTGTATAGTAACCAGATAAGCAAAGGTTGGTTTTCTAACAACCTTTGGCTAACTTTCCTTCATTTCATTATATGGTAGCACAGTAGGCTCTGACCTTATTTAATTACTCTATCTCTAGCTGAGTATCTTTCACATTTTTATTTATAAGCTTTTCTAATTTTTTTCTTCTATGGATTGTATCTGCTCTTCATATTTCTCTTTTTCTAATATCTCTAAAGCCTCTTTCTTTGAGAAGGCACAGAAAGCCATCATGACTATTAAGACTAAAATAAGAAATACCAACATGATCACAATCAAAACTGGTATTGTGCCAATTTCAGTAAAGTCATCTATCTTCATCTTTTGTCTCTATTTTTAGACCATCTAAGATAGCATTATTAAGGGTCCAAATGCTCTGTTTTATTTTTAAAAATTTTTCACCCTTACTGCCTACTTACACAACAGTAGGCTGATGTGCTTTACTCTGGACCGTAGCCTGTGCTGGCATCATATTGTTGGGCCTGTGCTTGCTGCCTTTGACATCTGTGCATGCTGTGCCGAGCCTCCTGCCAGATTAGTGCCGGCACGCTTCAGCCTCTCTCTTCACTGTCTCAGCTGTGGACAGAGGTGCAGCTTTACCACAAGGTACAGTTGACTCTGTGTGCAGGTGCCTGGCTTTCTGGTCTGGCTCCTGTG